ACGTCAGGCAAATAAAACTCTTGTTCCAGTGATCGCATCTTCTTCCTCTGAGGAATTATTATGCCGCCTTGTCACCCGGTAGAGGGCTCTGGTAACACTGCCTCCTCTTACGGCCGGTTCGCTGTGGGTTCCTATTCGCTTGCCATTATGACGTTTGATTTGGCTTCGTTCCAGCTCTTTTTCACGTAATGGTGCAAGACTTTGTAGGCCGCTGGCAGGTCTAGATGCCTGTTGACCGAGTTGGCATCTGTGTACCATCCCTCGAGTGTCAGCCTTTCAGCTTTTAAGGTTCCTCGAGCTACGATGGTCGCTCCTTGAAGATCAAAGTCATAGCCAGTTTCTGCAATGTGTGCTGCCAGTTGCGAGTTTAGGTCCAGTCTCTGGGCCGCTGGTTTGTGCTCTTGTAGGCGGGTTTGCAACTTGCGCCTGTTTCCCCAACATAATTGCAGTCTCCCTCATTGCAAAGTATCTTGTAGACGACTGCACAGGTTTCTGTAAGAGGCACTCGGTCATTAGGTTGCATCACCTGGCGGCGTATTGTCGCTTGAGGTCGATGGGTCATGCCTACGGCAGCAGGTTGTAACAGTCATAAGACTGCTTCGGAGACGCCTCTTATGTATGGGGATGGCCCTCCAGACCTTGGGCTGCTTTTGTTGTGGCCGTCGTCTGTTCACTCGGCGTCCGCTTTGTTTGACAAACGAGTTTGGGTAGCCATTAGCTCGGAAGAGTTCCTGAAGATATTGTTGTTCAGTTCTTCTGGCGGCTGGTGTGCTGCAGTGTGTTTGAACTCTTTGGAAAAGATTACAGACGCAGCTGCCTTTGTGGCACATGGGGTGATTGCTGTTGAAATTGAGTACTTGATTCGTGCTGGTGGCCTTTCCTAATACTGTAGTTTGCAGTAGTCCTGTTGAACACCGGCGTACCAGGACATCGAGGAAAGGTAGTTGGTCATTTGTTTCCACCTCTATTGTGAATTGGATATTTGTATCAACCGAGTTCAGTAACTTTTTGAGAGGCTCGATGTTAGATATTTTGACAATTACGAAGGTGTCATCGACATAACGAGCCCAAAACTTCGGTTGATACTTGGTGA